TTTTATTTTTTTCTATTGATCGCAGAAATACTATTTACTGAATAAGGAATATCACAATATCATAGAGAAAGGATTAAATGAAACATATCGAGTTAACATTTTCGAAATTATGCTTTTGATTTCAGGCATATTATATTATAGAATATTGATTTTTAGAAATTTGGGATTAATTCACTTTTGGCATTCTACTATCAGTGAATAATTAAATAAATATATTTAATTTTTAAATTATAAAAAGTGCTCAAGTACTCTTCTGATTGTTTAAGGTTCATTATTCTATTGGATCAGGCTCATATTAGGAGTTTATATAATAGATTATAAACTCATATTTAGCTTCTCATTTACAATACTATGTAAGCTTGATTAATGCAACGATAACAATATTAGGAGCCAAAAATATTGTAACAGCTTTTATTGATGAATATGATGATATTCTTCTTAGTTAATTGATGTAATCTAGCAATTAATTACAATTTATTCTAACGGAAAAAATTATCTGTTATATATTAATCCCATGTTTTTCTTCTAAATCACTCCATAGTAAATCACATATTTCATATATTAAATTCTATTTAATTATTTGATTTGATCAATTATCTAGTTTGATTGCTGATAAAAGGTCCCAAATAAGTCCAAAAATATCATAAAATGATAAATAATCAAAAACGACTGTAAAGTGCTTTCATACTATCTCATCCATATTTTTTTTTAACATTTATCATATAACCAATACTCTTATTTATTTTTCTATTCTCATAATGTTCTCTCAGTAATCTAGTTTCCTTTATATATTTTTTGTTAATACTGGCAATCTTCCTACAGTTTAATTAGATCATGATATTAACTATGCATATATCTGCATATTGTTAAAAATGGCTCTGATTCCTACATTTTTGGTCATCTATTACAAATATTTTAGCACTTTAAATTTATATCATTTTCATTTAATAATTAACCATTAATTTAAATCTACAAATCTATCAAAATATCCAATTCTGAATTCCTCAATTTTTATGGATTCATAATATAACATATTTTATAAAAATTGATTATTTTAAGAATAGTTATTTATAACTTAAACTCTGTATAATCATAAGATGGATATAACTTTATGAAAAATTAAAATGAGATATTAAAAGATTAATGATTATTCATCTATTAAAAACATTAAAAAATTTATTTTCTTATTCTAATAAATCAAGATGAACGCTGAAAAAAAGATTTGAGACTTAGGAAATCTCTTAAATTATTTAAAACATTTATCTAGGTTTTAAAATAATTGATTTCTAAAAAATTTTAGAACCTCAGTATTTTCTTATTAATCTAAATATTATTGACTGATGTTTTAGATTAAGTATAATATTTAAATATCGAATGAATCTTTATTTCAATCTTAATTTCTATCTAATAATATAATGAACTTCAGTTGAATCTAACAATAACTTTAAATTTATTTACTTTATTAAATCAATTTAAACCTTGATTCTGGAAGGCTATAAAATAGAAAATCATATGCTTATTGTTTCTAAATCATAATCAATAGAAATAGCTGTCTATGATGATAGTAATCATTTGATAATTCAATGATGTTCTTCAATAATTTGATGCTATATTCAGATCGGTTCTTAATTTTATGGAAATATTAGCCAATGATTTTAATTATCATCATAAAAAATTTAAAAAGATATAATAATATAATTGTTGTGAGCAAAATTAATACTTAACTAAATGATTTATTAAGAGAAAATATAAAATAAAACAATTTTTAATTTTTTATAGAATAATTAAATAACCCGCCAACAAAAATATCATTAAATTTCAGTATAGAAATATTAGTGCTCAATCGATTTGTAGGATTGAACATTAGGGCTATATTTATGAAAGAATAAGCTTAACAATCAGACCTAGAGCCATTATAAAGTTTAATTTAAATCAAAGTTTTGTGTATTTATAAAACATTTTTAGATTAAGTAGAAATTTCAGGATAATGATTATACTTCAAGTTAATAAATTTATGTGTAAATTGAAGTGTAAGTTTTGGATAGTGTATAAAAAATAGAATTAATGGCCATTTTTTTATTTTATCAAAGTAAAATATGAAATAAATTAAAAAATGGTTCCTTTCTTATAATTAATTGCCAGAATTTCAAAAAACTAAATTCTGATCATAAAAATGGTTAACATTAAAAGAGAAAATATTGAATACTAAACAGAATGATTATATAACACTAAAACACTTCTGTATAAATTTCACGTTTATCCAAGTAAAGAGAAATCATCAGAAATTTCATATTTTAAGTAAATTTAGAACAATCAATTTGAGACCGGAACTTTGAATCTTTATATTTTCAATAAAAGGTATATAAATCCATTAATTATTCGTTTTCATTCTTCTAAAATTATTGCATATTATTAGGTGATTAATTCCAATTAAAACCACTTTTAAGAATAAATTAAAAGTCTCAATATATCCATTTGAACAGATCATTTTTTAGATTCAATCATGGCCTTCAGTTCATTTTAGCCAAAGTAAAAACTAATCCAAAGACTAAAAAATGATAAAAAAATAAATTCAATAAATTTGTTTAAATATTTAATAATCCTCATGTACATAAATTTAAACAAGTCTTTCCTCTTAAAAGATAATATTAAATTTTCTAACACTATTATGTTAAATTCTGAAAATAATATATCTAATATATTCAATTATTATAAATTATAGGGGACATCAGTTAAAAAACCAAAGAATAAAAATGATGCAGTATCTACGAATATCGAAAGGTATCATTGATTATTATCTTAAAGAAATGCTGAACCTAAATGTTTAGATAAAAAGGATTATTTCTGATTTCAATTGCCAGTTTATATTGAACTTAAATGAAGTTGCAAAGTTTTTTTTTAATAATGAATAAGATAATTATTATCGATGATTTTCGTAATTAAGAAAAGTATATAATTATTAAAGGGACAATCTTCTGTTTTAAGAAAATGCTTTTATTAAGATTTGATATAATTTTATAATAATAGGAGTATCATTAATTCTAAGAATAAATTATTGGATGGTTAAGAGAGGAATAATGTATATGCTCAAATGAAAGAGAAAGAGGGAAATGTGCTCTACAATAGATAAGAAGGGTAAAGCGTGATGTAAAAATATTGTAGTGAAAGAGCTTAAAGGCGTATAAACTAGTATTTATAAAGAATTTTAATTAAAAGAAAAAAGAGCCCAGTATATATTTTGAATTTTAAATAAGTTTTTGTCAAAGTATAAGTTGAATATATGAAGAAGATAAGATTATATTGAACAATTAAATATTGCAACAAAATATTATTTTGATTGAAAAAATTGAGATTTGGGAATTATGATTTTGGATCACTAAAGAAAGCAATAAAATCATTTATTATATTTTATTTATATAAAAATGTTAAAATAGGAAGTATATTTAATATATTTTTTAATTAAAATTTAGCAGTATTTAATAAAATTAATCCACTAATAAAAAGAATATTACTATATTTAAATATTTAAATTAATTTTAAAAAGTAATAAAATATAATGAATTAACAGTTTGAATATAAATGTTCAATCTCACTCTCTCTGTTGTCATATTTTTGACAATGTCTATTACGTACACCTATTTAGTCCTATAACACGTATGTAATCCTGAGGAGATCTCTTTCAAAAACAAAGTGTCCTAAGTATATAGAGTGAACAGATTCAGTATAAATTTAGGATTGTATCTTGGAAAATGTCTAATATTTTTTCTATAAGTGTCAGAAAATCTGATTTCTGATATCTTCTAGGTTCAGTTATTTTCTTACTCCTTCTTTTATAATGAGAAATAGTTAAACGTTCGTTAAGCAATCAATCTCTAAAAATTGTGAACTACTAGAGGCTCAATCTCTATCCTTCAATCACCAGCCAAATTACACACGACTGACTTATCCATATTCTCAGTGCATATAAGATTTCCATATTGTCTAAAATAATATAGCTTGATTTTAAGTATATTGCATCATCAAGTTTATACCATTCCTGTTTAACATTAAGAATTTTATATTTAAATTATATATTAATAGTTGATGTCCTACGATTTTGGCTATACTTCGCCTTTTCTCGTTTAAAAATCAATAATACTGTTTGAAAAATACTATAAGATATTTTTTTATTCTATTCTCTTAGACATTCCCAATTAATAGTTCAAGATGAAGTCATTTAAAAATAATTAAAAAGTTTTATAATTAACTTCTGAAATCAATAATCATATTAATAAATATTCCTTTCTAAATACTCCAATTTGAAACAATACTAGTTCAAATTTTAAATTTTAAAGAAATATTTCTTATGATTTCTAATTAAGGTTTCAATTGTATTATCTCCATTTTGTGGATACTTGAGGGTCTAGACATTCTCTAAAGCAGGATGATACTTTAGGATATTATCTAAACATCACCTCCTTACCTTAAAACACAGTTTAATTTAAATTTTTAACCTTTAAACAGTTCAGATTTGTTGCTTTTCATATATTCAAATACTATTAATTCATGAAACCAAAGCTATTTGATAACTCTTTATAATATTTTTGGTCTTTAAAATTTTAATAAATAAACCAATCTTCTATTTGATGGCGGGCATAATTTTACTTTAAATTCCATTTATATCAATTAAATTTCATCTTAAGCTATTAGTATGTAATAAGGAAAAATTTTAATTCTGTTAGATAATTTATAGTGATTGTCCTTCTTACTGCAATTCTGGTTTATTATGATAAGACTAGAAACTATAAAGAGGAATANTAATTTTATAATAATAGGAGTATCATTAATTCTAAGAATAAATTATTGGATGGTTAAGAGAGGAATAATGTATATGCTCAAATGAAAGAGAAAGAGGGAAATGTGCTCTACAATAGATAAGAAGGGTAAAGCGTGATGTAAAAATATTGTAGTGAAAGAGCTTAAAGGCGTATAAACTAGTATTTATAAAGAATTTTAATTAAAAGAAAAAAGAGCCCAGTATATATTTTGAATTTTAAATAAGTTTTTGTCAAAGTATAAGTTGAATATATGAAGAAGATAAGATTATATTGAACAATTAAATATTGCAACAAAATATTATTTTGATTGAAAAAATTGAGATTTGGGAATTATGATTTTGGATCACTAAAGAAAGCAATAAAATCATTTATTATATTTTATTTATATAAAAATGTTAAAATAGGAAGTATTTAAATATTTAAATTAATTTTAAAAAGTAATAAAATATAATGAATTAACAGTTTGAATATAAATGTTCAATCTCACTCTCTCTGTTGTCATATTTTTGACAATGTCTATTACGTACACCTATTTAGTCCTATAACACGTATGTAATCCTGAGGAGATCTCTTTCAAAAACAAAGTGTCCTAAGTATATAGAGTGAACAGATTCAGTATAAATTTAGGATTGTATCTTGGAAAATGTCTAATATTTTTTCTATAAGTGTCAGAAAATCTGATTTCTGATATCTTCTAGGTTCAGTTATTTTCTTACTCCTTCTTTTATAATGAGAAATAGTTAAACGTTCGTTAAGCAATCAATCTCTAAAAATTGTGAACTACTAGAGGCTCAATCTCTATCCTTCAATCACCAGCCAAATTACACACGACTGACTTATCCATATTCTCAGTGCATATAAGATTTCCATATTGTCTAAAATAATATAGCTTGATTTTAAGTATATTGCATCATCAAGTTTATACCATTCCTGTTTAACATTAAGAATTTTATATTTAAATTATATATTAATAGTTGATGTCCTACGATTTTGGCTATACTTCGCCTTTTCTCGTTTAAAAATCAATAATACTGTTTGAAAAATACTATAAGATATTTTTTTATTCTATTCTCTTAGACATTCCCAATTAATAGTTCAAGATGAAGTCATTTAAAAATAATTAAAAAGTTTTATAATTAACTTCTGAAATCAATAATCATATTAATAAATATTCCTTTCTAAATACTCCAATTTGAAACAATACTAGTTC